GTCCAGGAAAAAGATGATGAACTGGTTATTTCCAAGAACAACCTTGTGAACAAATTTTCAACTTCCAAATGAAGCTCAGTTCTTAACCCTCCATAAATAAGATGAACAACCAAAGAGAAAAAAAGGCATCAGTGTGTTGGATATTTCAGTGTTAGCAGCTCACACGATTTTTCCCAAGATTATTGTTATTTTTTACTTTTGCCTCAAAGTTCCAGCCTCTGGAGAACAAATGGGAAAACCCTTGGACTGCTGGAAGAGAATATACAGTTGAGCGTCTCTCATTTAGCTTGAGAGTCTAGAAAAGTATTTATGCATGAGGTTAACTTCAGGTTTCAGCACTACTCTCTAACTTCTTTGTCTGTGGAGGTTACGCAGAGACTGAAGGGTCAGGAGACTGAAAGCTTTTTCTAGGTCAAGGCTGGATGTTCTTCTGTGTCCTTTCCATATGAATTTACGTAGAAATTACATCTGTGAAGTCTGTTTGCTTATCCAGTTAACATTGTGATACTCAGAAAACACACTGGATATAGTACCATAACGAAATCTGGCACCATACAGTCCAAATTATTTTTAAGGTAACAACTTCTTTTTCTTTAAAGAAGCATTTGTGGAAAGGAGTTGATAAAGACAAATGTCTACAAAATGTACAGCATTAATGAAAATATGAGTTAATTAGAATTCATTTTAAACAGGAACTTGTTTGTAGAAATTTCTTATTATGCTAAAATAAAGCTGTTTACCAAATATTCCAAGAACTTATATGAATCAAGTCAAATCTGGATGCACAAAGGAAAGTGGAAAAAAATCTGTTGCTACAGAAGCAGTAAGAAATTTTCCCTGTGCTTAATCTGAAAGCAATGCCTGGAAAAAAACCAATATACTATGCATTAATATTCAATTTTCTTTCATCTCTTTTCTGTTTCAAGTATGTTTTCTTGCAGTGAATTTTCACTTCAGCATTTCTTCTTGCAGTCTCATCAGAATCTTGGACTTTCGGAGGTATGGAAAACAGGAAAATTATAATTATTATTAATGAAGCATTCCTTATAAGAATGATTTTCCAAATAAATGCAATTTTACAGTACAAAATATATTAATGAAATGTTACATCATGGATTGGCCTGACTGAAAAAGAGTACATCCATTCTTCCGATGGTCCAAAACACTTTTAATTGATTTGACAAAATGCCAAGCTAGAGAAACATGCACAGTGGGAGAGGATCTCAAGCTGCCCATGAGAAAGCAGTACGACCAGGTGCCCATCTCAAACGCTTCTACAAATATGATGAAAGCCTGAGAAACAAATAGGAGGAACTGGGAGTCCCTTTAATTGCACCAATCGCCCAGCTGCGATGGGAGAACCAGAGCAACAGCAGTGCTGCAGTGGATGGCTGTTGGCTCTTTAGAAAGGAGAGGAAGGGAAGACAAGGCAAGGATTATGCTCTGCACAGTGAGCACCTTGAACGCATGGAGCTTTGTTTCATAACAGGTGATTGGTCTGGTCATGGTCAAAAGCACATATTCTGATTTAGAAGGAAGGCCAGCAAGGGGAACATCATGGTGGGCATTCACTACAGACTGTCTTATCAAGAACAGACTGGATGTGAAGAGTTCTTTAACAAGTGTAAGAAGCTCCATAATTGGAGACTAGCTACTTCAGCACCTTCTGGGAGAGCCGCAGCATGAGGATCAATCAATCCAGAAAGTGTGTCGGGTGCAAGTGCTGGGTTTCCAGCTAGAGATGGTAGTCTCCGAGACCTGTTATTCACATACCCTCTGGCTGTGGATAGGAGAGTCAACAGCAGCCTTGGCTGCAGTGACCATGACTGCCTTCATGAGATGACAATGTTCAAGATCCTGAGGGATGCGAGGCAGGCAAGCAGCAGGATAAAAACTCTGGAATTCCAGACTTTGGCTTGTTCTGGGAATTGGTAGACAGGATCCTGATGGAGACTGCTATGAAGTGCAAAGGGGCCCAGAAAGAGCTTCTCAGTCTACAGGAACAATTTTCTTAAAGCACAAGAACTATCCATTGCAGTGTGCAGGAAAATGAGCAGATATAGCAGAAGTCCAGCTTGGCTCAGCAGAGAGCTGTTGACTGAGACCAGATGCAGAAAGGAAGCATGTCAGAAGTGGATACTTTGGCTACCAAAGGGTAATATAGAAGTATTCCCCAGACTTGCAGGGATGAAGTAAGGAAGGCCAAAGTTCAGATGGAGTTGAACTCAGCTAGGTGTATGAAGGACAACATGAAAGACAGTACAGGTAAGGCAGCAGTAAAAAACAGACCAATGATAACATGGGCACTCTGCTCAGGAGGAAGGCAACTTCGTGACAAAGGACATAGGAAACGCTAAGCTGCTTAGTGCTGTCTTTGCCTTGGTCTCTATTGGCAAGGCCTGCTCTCCGGCTTCCCAGTTCTTCATGTCTCGTAGCAAATATCTGGGGAGGACCTGCGACCCATGGTGGAGGATGGCTGAGTTAAGCACTACTTCACCTGGATATACACAGATCCATGGCACTGGCTGGAAGGCGTTCAAGGGTGCTGAGAGGGTTAGCTGATGCAGTTGCAAGGCTGCCAAAGTCTAATCAGCAGCTGATAATGAGTGCCATTCAGTCCTTCCTCAGTGACAGGGAAGAACGAGTGGAAGGATCCTCTGTGAAGCTGCAAGAAGCCCCAAGCTGGCAGGAGTGGTTGGTGCACTGGAGGGCAGTGCTGCCAATCAGGAGGAGTGTGACAAGCTGCAGGAATGTGTTGACAGGAATGTCATGAGTTCAGCCAGATGCTAAGTTCCTCCCCTGCAATGCACTGATAAAGGCTGTCCAATGGCTGGCTAAAACTCCTTTCATAAGAGGACCCAGAGATTTTTGGGTCGTCATACAAGAGAAGTAAACTGGAGTCCAGCTGAAGAAGATCATTTTATTTAGCATGGAGTAGAGAAAGGTAAGGGGGCACCTAATTGCAGTCTTCCATTACCTACAAGTTGTTTGTAGAGAAGCTGCAGTCTTCTCTTCTCAGAGGCACAGAGCAAAAGGAAAAAATTTCAGTTGGCCCTAAGGAAAAGGTCTTTTATGACAACACTGGTGAACAAACCTATCAGAAAAGGTGTGGAATCTCCATCCTTGGAAATTTTGAAAAGTCTACTGAACAAGACCCTAAGGAACCTGATCGAAATTTGAAGTCTGCCCTGTTTTAAGCAGGAGATTGGACTAGATGATCTCTTTATGACCTTTTAACTTAAATTATTCTGTGGTACTTTAACTTCTCTTCATGCTGCATTACCTTGCAAGAGTTGAAATTTTAGTCTCCAGTATTTTTTATAAGCATTGTCCTTGAAGGGTATATCTACATAAGGGAAACACAATGACTGAACACACACATCCCTCATGGGAGTTATAAAGTTTTCAGCGCATTGTAGGAGGAAGAGCTCTATCTATGGATTTTGATCCCAGGGAAAACCACACATATCAGGATCTCATAACTGCCCAAAAGAACTACATAACGGGTCATGCATCATCATAAGGAAATGTAAATTACCACTGCGTTTGCTTTGAAAGGAAGCTTGTAAATTCAGTTTAGTAAAAACTAACTAACTCCAATGGTCTGATGACAGGAATGTCAAATATCTCATTTCAATATTGAACTAAAAGATTTTGACTACTTCTAATGTGAATTTTTCACAATGTGCATCTCCTGGAAAACTTACAAAGCTCAAGTTTCCTGCTCGCTTCAGGAGAAAAACAAATGTGAAAAGAGAATTTCCTGCAAGACAGGAAT